ATATTTTTTAAAGCAAGCAAACTACACACATCAGGGGTCGAATAAAAGAATAGGAATTCATAGAAATCTCTTTGTAATGAATTCTTGCATAAATTCTTGCAATCAGCTGTTGTTGTCAGTTTTGCAACATTTTTATTATCATTATTCATTATGTTATACATAAAGCAGCTGTTTTAGAGAGAGAGAGAGAGAGAGAGAGAGAGTGTGAGTCATGGTCAGAACTATATTGGCACCCAATATGATCAAAGAAGGTTGTGCAAATACACCTGTATATTTTTTACCTTTTGATCTTTAAAAAAAAAAAAAAAAGTAAATAAAACTAAAATAAATTTACAAAAAAAAAACATAAAAATCTAACTTTTCAGCAAAATCACATTATGAAAATAAACTTTTCTCTAATACACATTGGTCACAAATATTTGTAGTTCTAGAAATTCTTATGAATAAAATGACTGATGATCTATATTCCCATTCATATTTCCTTTTTTTACTTTTATTTTTTACTATATTTACTTTTTTATTTTTTACTTTTAGCACACCAGGGTGACTAGGAACATGAAATTATCCAGCCATAAATTAATTTCACAGGAATATAACTATGAGGAACACAAATGCCTTTATCATACCCTTTATCATCCATCACAATGAGAATAAACAAATAATATAGTTCTGATGTGCAGCAACAGTTTGTTATGCTTCACAAAATATGAAGTCAAGAAAATAGCACAAAATAGAAAGTCACAAAGAAAAAAAATATAAGAAAAGAGCTAAAGCATTAAACATTTCCATTTCTGCATTAGGACAATAATTACGGAGTTTCAATCAACAGGAAATGTTACAAATTTGTCTGCAGTAAATTGTCTGTGTCTATATTGTCTTAATGTAATGTGAGGAAGATAGTTTCAGTGGCCAATGACTCTCCAAGGATCACAGCTGGATAATTGCAGAAAATAGTTGAGTCTTTGGGTCAGAAAGCCTTATAATGGGCCGTGGCTGAATCTTCCAACAAAACAATGATCCAAAAGGACCATCAAAATTAAGGCAAAAATGGGTCACTGAGCACAAAACAAAGGTTCTGCCATGGCCGTCCCAGTTCCCTGACCTGAACCCTATAGAAAACTGAAGAGGAAAGAGTACCAACATGGAGCTGGGAATCTGAAGGGTCTGGAGAGTTCCTGTAGGAATGGTCTCTGATCTCTTGTCAGATGTTCTCCAAACTCATCAGGCATTACAGGTGAAGAACCACAGCTGTTAAATTGGCAAAAGGAGGTTGCAAAAAGTAGTGAATAAAAGGGTGCTATTAATTTTGGCCAATGTGTATTAGAGAAAAACACTTATTTTCCCTTCACTTCCAATTTACTTCTAAGAAAGTTTAGGGTTTTGAGTGTGCGTGTTTTTTTTTTTTTTTTTTTTCAAAATGGTAAACCGTGCAGATTAATTTTCACAGGCTTCTTTATTCATATCTACCAAGGTGCCAATAATTTTGAGATATAAAGACTGGAAACACATGTTGATCTGAAGTTAAACCTACCTCCGGGTAGGTTTAATTTAAACCTCAATTTAGTCCTGAAGTAGCTCTAGTCTTCCTCCAGGAAATCATCTTATTAAATTCTGGACTAGGCCTAGTCTAAGACTATTTAAAACCACGGCAGAGAAAGCAGATTTCTGTTAATCTGGTTTAAAGGGCCATTTTAGTCTAGGACTAGGCTTAATCTCTGTCCAGGAAACCGCCCCGATATGAATTACTATATGTTTAAAACTATGATGATTAACTAATTTCATGTATTTTGTGTAAAAAAAAATGTAAGAGTGTGATGGAATATAAGAATTTGCAAGTCCGCAGGACCAAAAGTTAATAGTCTGAATTCTGAATGAAGTTTATTCATTTGTAGTATGGCATTCTCATCATCAAAATAAGATAAAATATTTCTGTCTTTATTCAGAATCAAATTCCTGATTGAATTATTATTAGTATTTTTTTTCAAAAAAGAAAAAGGAATGTTGGATGGATATATAGCTATAGTGAAAGCATCAGGTCCAAACTGTTGTTTCCTACACATCCTGGGCACAAGGGATGGAGAGATTGAAGAGTGGAAAGTTTGATTTGCAGCTCATACACAAGTTTTATTATTATAGCTATTATTTGCTTTATTTTACCGAAGAATGTTCTTTACACTTTCTGAATGCTTCATCAGTATGCATGATTTATTTTGATGTGCTAAAAGAACAACCGGAAATGTTTGAAATGTGTGTGTGTGCAGACAAGTGTTAAGACAAGGAATGCTATTTTAGAGCTCCTACATGCTCGCTTCTAAGAAAATTATTTGCATTAAATACTTAGAAATGCATCTAGGGGACATAGATACATTACATAGGTAGATACCTTAAATGGACACATGTGTTGAACATGCGTTATGATTGGATGAAATGGAAGCATCCAGATTTGATTAGGGTAAAAATATTTAAAGTATTTTCCGGTGGTCACACTCTGCAGCCGACTTTGAATGACTTTATGACTGTTTGACCATTTCTTGCAAGAAATACATTCTCAAAAGATTTTTGTCCCATACCTTTATTAAAATACAAAAATTTCCACAATTATGAAATAAAACGTCACCATAGTAATAATCTTTAGTATTGTTTACATGGTTTGGAGTTGAGATTGCAGTACTCAAACATGAGCTCAGGGAAGTAATACCTGGCAGCAGATAAGAGTTTTTCTTATGTCTAAGCAATTTCTAAGCATTTTTCTAAGTGTGTTTTCTTTAAAAATGGACTTCCATTTATAGACTGACTCCCTCAAGTCTGTCAGTTGGCTGGTCAGTGGCAAAAAGCAAAAGTTACCATTTAACCCAGCATTGTCTGTAAAGTATATTAGCACTGTTTTCAGTAATTCAATATCAATGCACTGGAGCTATACTGAATTTATAGCTCCCTTAAAGGAGACCTGTTATGTCACCTTTTACAATATGTAATATATGTCTTGGGTGTCCCTGTCTGTGAATTTTCCGCTCAAAATACCCCACAGATTATTTATTGTATAATTTTGAAAATGCCAACTTTGAGTGGAAGCAGAAAAACTGTTTTTGTGTATGTCTCTTTAAATGCAAATTAGCTCCTGCTCCCCGCCCCCTTTTCCAGAATTGCAGCTCGTATCGCAGATACTCGCTAAAATACATGTTTGATTTTGATTATCATGTCTATCGCACTGAAATCATGCGTTTTAAACCGTATTAGTTTAAATTTCTGATATAGGGTTTTTCTGAGCGCACATATCCAACGCATGCGCACAGAAAGCGGCTGTCACACTGCATGTGAGTCTGCGTGAACTGGAAGTTGCTGCTGACTTATTATAGCATAGCACTTAAACACTGACAAAAGTCAGATTTTCATGATATGTCACTTTGAAGATTTAAAAAAACAAAGAACTGATAAGCAGAAAGGTAAAAAGCAATTGAGCAGAAGTAGGTCAACTGAAAGAACAAACTCCATCTAGTGTGTCATCACCTTTATTTCATTTTCTATTTTTATCTTCAAAGCTGAGTAACTGTATAACTGTTTAGTTTTTTTTGCTGTCATAATTCTCTACATAGTTATAAGGACTATTTAAATCCTTTAAATACAGGATCACAAACTTCTCTGTTTGACGACCGGAAGAAGCTTTGATAAAATCTGCACTATGTCATGGTAACTGGAAGCTCTGCACTCTTTTCTGCAAAGAGAAAGATGCCGTTCATTGCTGTTATCTTTCTTTTTACAGACTCATTTTCCAATCCCAGGAACACATTTCAGTGATTTTGTTTTTGGTGTTGGTGTTGTTTCTGTACTATTATTATATCAATTCATTATTTCTCAACTGATGATAAAGAGTAAAACCGAATATGCTTATTCTCCGCACATGTCTAACGTACCCTCTTTTTTCCAGTAAACAGCAGACCAGTAAACCAAGGAACCTCAACTACTACTCTGCCCTAAATGTGTCAGACATACCTGTTTTCAGTACTGCTACATAAGAGTTGACTTTTCCTATATGCAAAACATATCAGAGTCATTAGAATACATAGAGAGAGAGCAACTTAATGTGTCATTAAATTTGATTACTTCATCAAGATCAATCCAATTAATTCATACCGGACCTGATGTTGTCAAGAAGCGAATGTAAACTGTGAGATGCTTTGTCTTCTAAAATTTGGAGGGGGGAAGATGAAATTAAAGTTATAAACAGTTATCTTGAAAATGTTAGGAAAGGACTAAATTAATACTGTCAGATAAGTCTCAGTTATTACAATGAATTTGGCATGTTGGAAATATTAAATGACTGTACAGTAAGATAATAATTAAAATCAATAAATCAATTTTCTTCCATGTTTCACTCTGTCCATACTATCTTGAGAACATTTACATTCAGAGCCTAGAAAATTAATTAGTGTTGAAGTGAGAAAATATCCATTTTGATTTTACTACAGCATGCTTTACAGAAATAAGTTAATTAAAAACAGTCTGGAGCCTGATAGTAATTAGATTTAATTTCCTTTTCTGTTTCATGAAAGTGACACAAAAAAATAAGTTTTATTATTCTAAATAATTTTGAGGCAGTTACATATATATGTTAATAACAGATAATTAAACCAGGAAGATTGGTAAAACTGCAATAAATATATATGCAATGCAAATCCTTCAAATCTCTATTTTAAATGTTAATGTGTTGAATTTAGAGCATTTTTATTTCACATTTCATGTTGTAACCATTTGACATGCACCAGTCAGACATAGAACAGATCAAGTTAAATATATTTTCATTTAACTTTATTTAAAGGATTTTGACATTATCAACTAAAGAAAACGCATAACTGTATAATCCTACATGTTTTTTCCACAGTTAGTGTGGGTGAATGGAACAAAGTTACAGTGGGGGAAGTTGCCTGTTTATACAAGGTTGGGGTAAATGTCACCTTGTCTGTTGGGTAGAGGTTTCAGTCGCTGTTTCCTCTCATTTGAGAATTACGTGCAGTTCCAGCTCTCTTCGACAGTGTTACTGTCATGTTCTGCTACATGAAAGTCCTCTCAGCTTTTCTGTGTTTACTTTTGCTTCACCAAAATGCAAGCGCATCTTGTCCACCAGGTATGTATGATTATTGTTAAATACCTGAATTTGGGACTTACTATTCGGTTTGAAAGGATATTGGTCACATAACACCTCATTAAAGATATCTTTTAATTGTAGGTCAGAGGCTCAGTTATAATACGAAAATTTGTGAGGCGTGTCCACTAGAACAATACAGCTCTATACCTGGAACACATTTGGCTTGCCAGAACTGCAACAAATGTAAAAAAGGTAAGTGCCACTGTCTTTTTAAAAACTTTTTTGGATAGATTTAGTAACTGAGAATGTTACTGTATAATGTATGTAATGCTGTAATATACTGTAAACCACCCAATATGTGGTATTTTCATTTACACCATTTGATGTGTACAAAGAAGGCAATGTCAGAGACTAAAACATTATTTCTATTTTCAACAATAATTTACATAATTTCCCCCCCCTCAGGTAGTAAGGAAATCAAGGCTTGCACACCTACCAGTGACACTCAGTGCAAATGTACAAAAGGCTTTACACCCATTGATCGGCTAAAGGAAGATTTTTGTGCTTGTGAAAAAGGTTCTGGAATAGATGAAAGAGGTACACATTAAATCCTGCCTTACTGAATCACATTAAATAACTAAAGATCAACTCATGACACCTGGACTATGTCTCTCTTCTAGGAATATGCAAAAAATGTCAGGATGGCTCCTTCACAGACAAACGTGACTCGTTTTGTAAAAAATGGAGAGAGTAAGTTTTTATGAATAGCTAAACATTTCAAAGGATATACAGTTTAAAGCCTCATGCATATGTCAATTCAAAGGGCTGTTGTCAAGGGGAGACAACAAGGAACGATGTCCCCAAACCCATATATACAAAGGGGACCCTATTCAAATGTTATAGCCACTTATTGAGGGGGAGCATAAAAATTCCCCAGTAAAAGTTGAATGAAATTATGGAAGCCCGTTTCCGCCACTGAATAAAAAAATATAATTCTGTTAGTCATAATAATGAGACATTTTCTCAAAATTATGACTTAGTATCTCGTTATAATGACTTATTTTCTCATAATAATGACTTAGTTTCTCGTAATAATGAAAAACTTTCTCGAAATAATGACTTAGTATCTCGTTATAATGAGAAACTTTCTCGAAATAATGACTTAGTTTCTCGTAATAATGAGAAACTTTCTCATAATAATGACTTAACCTAATCCAAAAAAAAAAGACTTCCTCGGTGCCTGCGGAACGCAAGAGTGACAGCACGCTAGCGCCATCTGTTGGTCAAAGCCATGCAGGAACACCGCTAACATTGCTTTGTTCTGTAATCTAAAGTGTATCATGCTATAGTCTGTCATTAAATAACGATTTCAGATCAATGATCTGTATGTAGTCTTTTGTGTAATAGTTACTCTGCCAGATAGTTATGGCTTCAAACATTCCAGACCAATATTTCAGTTAAGAAATCCAGGCATTTTATGAAGAAATGAAAGCCATTACACATATAAACTTAATTTATAGATGTGTATTTCGATGATTTATTAGTTTTATTAGCTGTCCCTTTCATGCATCACATGCAATGTTAGCGGTGTTCCTGCATGGCTTTGACCAACAAATGGCGCTAGCGTGCTGTCACTCTTGCGTTCCGCAGGCGGGTAAGTCTTTTTTTTTTTTTTTGGATTAGTTTTTTTTTTTGGATTAGGTTAAATCATTATTATGAGAAAGTTTCTCATTATTATGACTTAGTTTCTCATTATTATGACTTAGTTTCTCATTATTATGACTTAGTTTCTCATTATTATGAAAATAAGTCATTATTACGAGAAAGTAAGTCATTATTACGAGAAAATAAGTCATTATTATGGGAAAATAAGTCATTATTACGAGAAAGTAAGTCATTATTACGAGAAAATAAGTCATTATTATGGGAAAATAAGTCATTATTACGAGAAAGTAAGTCATTATTACGAGAAAATAAGTCATTATTATGGGAAAATAAGTCATTATTACGAGAAAATAAGTCATTATTATGGGAAAATAAGTCATTATTACGAGAAAGTAAGTCATTATTACGAGAAAATAAGTCATTATTATGAGAAAATAAGTAATTATAACGAGATACTAAGTCATCATTTTGAGAAAGTTTCTCATTATTATGACTTACAGAATTATATTTTTTTATTCAGTGGCGGAAACGGGCTTCCATATGAAATTCAGTGATGACGCAAAAGCATATTAATCATCTCAGCTGCTTTATTTCAATGCTTAATCAGCGCCCTCTTGTGCAAGTTTGATGATTCAGCACTGAGACTACAAAGAGACGTTTAGTCGAACATTAAAATTGTGTCATCATGTCATTCTAAAACTGTATGATTTTTTCCCCCTTTGGAGAACCAAAGAAGATATTTTGAAGAATATTTCAGCTATTTTTGTAGATAAAATTAAACTTTTATTGTATGGGCAAGAAAAATACTAAGAATTGTTTTCTAAATTTGTGTTATGTAGAAGAAAAGTCATACAGGCTTGTAATGACATCGGCATGAGTAAATGATGACAGAATTTTCATTTCGACTGAACTATATCTTTATGATTGTTCATGAAGAGAACTGCATTATTTTTTTGCTCTGTAGGTGTAAAAGTGGGATTGCAAACCAAGGCACCAGCACTTCTGATGTTGTCTGCAATAATGCCTCGAAAGAGGTGACAGAACCTCCCAAAGCCCATACTACCCCATTTCAGACAACCACAATCTCTTCCACGGCCGCTTCAAGAACTACAGTCTCCTCTCCCAACAACACAAAAAAAGACGGCTTCTACGGCTTGTGTAATCTTCCTTTATTGCTTCCAGGTTTAGTAATCATTTATAATTTGTATCTTTCTTGCTAATATTTAATTCATATTTCATTCTAGGGCTGGTTATGCCATGTGCTGGTGTTATTCTGCTGGCTGGACTCCTGTACCACAAGTGTAAAGTCACCCACTGTATTCATAACCACAAGAAAGTGGATTTTCGAAAAGGTGGAGTACCCTTAGTTTACCATACGGCCACGTGTGTGTGTGTGTGTGTATGGCTACTCTCTATTCATCCTTACATTTATTGTCTCTAGAAAGTGTATGCAGAAAGCCTGTTGAAGAATCTGGGGAAAAGTGCCTGTCTTCGCTTGTCTAACACAGTTGTTAATGGTCTCAGTGTTTCTTTTTGTGGAATATTTTGTATGCATGTAATATTAGTTGTTATATAACTAGTTAAATTGCTGTTAACTTCATAAAATTTCCACTTAATAACACCACTTAAAGGGATAGTACACCCAAAAATAGGTTGGAAAAAAAATTGGAACATGTTGTTCCAAACCTGCATGAGTTTCTTTCTTCTGTTGAACACAAAAGAAGATATTTTGAAGAATATTGGTAAACAAACATGCCAATGACTGACAGTATTTTTTTCCATACTATGGAAGTCAGTGGCTACTGTCAACTGTTTGGTTACCAACATTCTTCAAAATATCTTCTTTCGTGTTCAACAGGAGATAGAAACTCATACAGGTTTGGATCAACTTGAGGGTGATTAATGGGTGAACTATACCTTTAAAAAACAATAATAATCAGTGCTTAATTATAATTGTCTTACATTGTAGAAGAAACGGTTTACATAATATTATTAATACTTTTATTGTGTTTCAGTGGCTGTTGTAAGAATGATTGTAACTAGTCAAAAGTAACTTACATTAGGGGTTGTTTAAGACCCCGTTTATACCTGTTTCGCCAACCGGTTTGAAACATTCGGGGTCCAAAACAAATTGAGATTCATCCACATGTGAAGGTGTTCAAAGTCATTGCTTTTGTAGTGTAAATGCTCATCCATTTGAATTCAGATGGCTAATTTAATATAAGCCTTGAATTGATTTCAATTCATTACTTGGAGACAGATCTACTTTGAATTCTGCTGATTAGTGAATTTGAAATAAAATCACAAATTCACATCGCCTGAACTTCAGTCGACAGCTGTAGGTAGATCGATGGTAAGATCTGTAACCTTATTAGAGGCATTTCCATGTCGCCACAGTTGTTTACCACAGACATGCCTTGTAGTGACTCATGCATTCCTGAGACAAATATGACAAATTATCTGAGTTTCCCATATTTAGGTGGGCTAAGGACAATGTCTGAGAATCTTTCCTTTTTGTTTTGTTTTTGTGTGTGTAGCCTAATTATAAAGATTTTATGTTGTTTCTGTGACATGGAAATAAATGGGTTGCATAAACCAGTGACATTTTTGTAGGCAGTAATATTTGTAATATTTTATTTGATGTCTGTTGTCATTCTGTGCAATGTGTCTGATTATATGGTGTCTAATTTACAGCTTTAAATAAAGGACTAAATCTAAAATATTGTTCATATTCTCTAGTATAAATATCAGGTTATTTTATTGTTGTTGTTATGTGTAATATTATTTTGTAATATTTTCCCTTTTATTTTTAATGATATTTGTACATTTTTTCTTATTGCATTGACTCTGGTGTCAACGTTCTGGTCTCAAAACTCAAAACTAAGACTAACATTTAAATCATGCATTTTCATCATGTGGATCTTTGTATTTCAAGTGCACTTAGCAACGTCAGAGCTGGTATTGTCCCCTCCTACATTTATGTTTCTTCCGATAGTCGACAGCCGTCCCCTGCCTGTCTCTAGAAATGCAAAACACACTGAGGTTCTGGGGGAGGCGTCAGTTTTCGGTTGAACTTCTTCAAAATTTCCATCCACGCACAAGTACTCGCGTTCCGGCCCTTGAAGCTAAATGCCGTTGTGCACCTTCCTCTTATGAAGCCACAAGGCTGTTAACAGTTTAATTTAAACCTTGCATCTGTTTGCTTGGTTTTGTGCTAAAGAAAATCTAGAGTTTGACTGCTTAGATAAGACTTTTGTGGACTGAGCCTTTGCCAACTACTACAAGACAAAATTGTTTGGACAAATATACCAGTGAGATGTACCGAAGATAGGTTTTTATGATATTTATTTTATTTTCATCATACAATATGTGACCCTGGACCACAAGTAGCACAGGTATATTTGTAGCATTAGCCAACAATACATTATATGGGTCAAAATTATTGATTTTTCTTTTATGCCAAAATCATTAGGATTAAGTAAAGATCATGTTCCATGAAGATATTTTGTACATTTCCTACCATACATATATCAAAACTTAATTTTTGATTAGTAATATGCATGGCTAAGAACTTCATTTGGACAAAGGCGATTTTCTCACCCTCAGATTCCAGATTTTCAAATAGTTGTATCTCAGCCACATATTGTCCTATCCTAACAAACCATACATCAATGGAAAGCTTATTTATTCAGCTTTCAGGTTATGCATAAAGCTCAGTTTCAAAAAATGGACCCTTATGACTGGTTTTGTGGTCCAGGGTCACATATGTGATGTGGAGATCATTTCTAAATGTGTTTCATCCACTTCTCATCCACTTTAGAAAGTGATGACGTCTCATTTTGCGTCAGAGTGTGACCACCCCTGAACAGGTGAAACTTTTCTGTAGAGGATCTGAAATGAGAAGTCATGTTTGTTAACCACAAAAATCCCTGACAGACCAGCTCAATGCACGAATTTCAGAAAAAAAGAGGGTAGAAAGCATGTGAAATACTGTAGCTTATAGAAAGTAATCTTCCACATAAATTTCATAGAAGGTTATTCGTAGTAGCTAAATGATTCTGATATATTTTCATTTCCTCTCTTCTATTTGATGTAGCAGCACCCTCTGCAGGGCCACATGGCTGCAGATGTCAAGAACAAGATGTGCAGACAAAAATCACAGTACTTCCTGGTCTTGGCGGTACGTTTTTATTTTTTATTTTTTCTAAAATCAATTTCCTGCCCAGATAACTGGTGTTCTGCCATGCTTGCATTACCAACAGAACATTTTTGATGCAATCTTGTTGCATTAGTGGTCTGTAATCTTGGAACGTGTTCATTTCCTTACTTCATCTGTTGTTGAAGAGAAGGAACCACATCCTTTGCATTCTTGTCAAAGAGCCTCACTGCCACGAAGATCAGAGTTCCCCTCACGTTTTTTAGTTGACTTCTTGTAACAAAGAGTAGGTTGATGCATTCATTTGACTACAGTTGAAAATTAGCTGAAATTATGCATTTAGAGAATCTTTATTGATGTGCACCGTCAAAATTTATACCTTGATTCTACAAACAAGAGCATACTCATTCTATGAAATGGACTTTGTCTTTTTGGAAAGGTTTTGCAAAATGTTAAACTTTTTATCAGAATGCATTTGAATTTTAAAACAAAATTAAAGAGTCTGCAATATGATTTTCTATAGTTCAAAAAATTATTCTATCAAATTATCGCATTTTAGTTTGAATTAATGTTTTTTTTTTAATGTGGCTGATTTAGTGTGAGATAACAAACAGACATTTTATTTAATGTTTTGTTTTTATCAGTATTTTAAATACATTTTCTATGAATGGCTATATGTTTTTGTATAATGCATAAAGTATTTATAAAACGTTATCACATTAAATGTTTTAATATAATAATTTTTAGTGCTGTCAAATGATTAATCGCGATTAATTGCATCCAAAATAAAGGTTTTTGTTTGCATAATATATGCGTGTGTTCTGTGTATATTTATTATGTATATATAAGTACACACACATATGCATGCATATATTTTGAAAATATTTACATGAATTTACATGTCTATATTTATATTCATATAATTTATATTATAAATAAATATATTTAATATATAAACATATTTTTCTGAAATATATACATGCATGTGTGTGTATTTATATATACATAATAAATATACACAGCACACATACATATTATGTAAACAAAAACTTTTATGTTGGATGCAATTAATCGCAATTAATCATTTGATAGCACTAATAATTTTATATTATTGTATGTTTTATATTATTGTATGCTAAAGCTTGCAGCTTTTTGTGTATGTCAAACAGACTCACACACACACACACACACACAAATGACTAATTCAGTACGTCTTTCATGCTTCAACTGAACTGCTTGCAATAGTTGTATTGGACCACACTGGATGTGACATATGTTGGCTCATCAATTTTAATAGCTTACACACAACCGAGAATGAAAAAAAAGCAGTGTGAACGCGTCATAGTTAGAGGTACGCTTATGTGACGTTAACCTCCGGCAGAGCGTGACCTTTCACATAGACCACTTCAGTCAGCTGCACTGAAATGGCAACCGCTCTGCTGGGTGTATCCTTTGCGCAAGAGGCTTGTGCACATGACACTTGCAAGATGTCTGTTTCACCACACAGACCACTTCTTTATGACATCATTATCTGTGTTTTGTTTTGTTTTGAGTTTTCTTTTTCTTTCAATAACTTTAATCAAAATAGACATTCAATTCAGAAGCCAATATTACGTAATTATCACTTTTAGTGATATTTTCAGATCAAACCTCAGCCTCATCTGCTGCATGTCAGCTGGCAGAGGCATAGTATGGCAGACCCTGTACTGATTTCAAAGCAACATAGATCTGTTTTTTTTTTTTTAAATGAGTTTCACAGTGCGCAGCTCAAATGAACAGCTGCAGAGGTACCTTTCAGTCTTGTATTTTTGCATATTGAATCTCTTCAATAGAGATTCAGTAGAGGGTGGCTTTAAAACAGTAAGTTCAGTAATGTCAGGAAAGACCAGAGGTCTTTCAAAGGTAACAAAACCCCCACAATATTCAAAGGATTCTAACTTTATTATATTATATTATACGAGTGAGTTGTTGGATTTGTTTCTTAAAAACGCACAGCTTTTCACTTCACAGAACTTTAATAGATGGACTGAGTCATGTGGATTACTTGTGTATTATTGTGATGTTTTTATTAGCTGTTTGAACTCTCATTCTGATGGCACCCATTCACTGCAGAGGTTTCATTGGTGAGCAAGTGACGTAATGCTAAATTTCTCCAAAACTGTTCTGATGAAGGAACAATCTCATCTACATCTCGGATGACCTGAAAGTGAGTACATTTTGAGCAAATTTTCATATTTGGGTGAAATATTCCTTTGATATATGACTCCTATAAAATGGTCCAAGCAATCTAATTCAAAATAGATGTCGGAAAAACTATTTAATGTTTTAATGTTTATAATATTTAATTCAAGATCGAATTTAACTAAAAACTTATACAAATAGTGACATTATTTCACTTCTCTAGATACACAACAAAATCAACTGCGGGCAGTAGATCCTCTTCCTATTTAGTGCCCAGACTCTGGAACAATCTACCTAGC